CGTGGGAGTCCAGTGACATAGCCATTACGCTAACTGCTGGTTCCTTTTTTTTTTTTTTTTGAGAAGAGAAAATTTTTTTTAAAGTCTTACAGATAGGGGCCAGCAGGTGGCGTGGCGTGGTGGTTAAGGCACTGGATTCCCACATGGCCAACAGCAGTTGCAGTCCTGAACCTGATGACTTCTTTTCTCACTTTCCCTCTCTCTCTGTCTCCTTCTGGTTAAATTAAAAAATAATAATAAGTAAAATTAAATATTTTTTAAAAGAAATTACAAAACAAAGTCTTATAACTAGCTCAAGGGTGAGACTAGTTTGGAGGGTGCTAACACAAGAATTCTATCTATTCCTTTCAGGATAAAACCAAGCCACCCTATTTAAAGACTTGAACTTGTGTGCACATTTTAGAAACCACTTGTTATTCCATTATTTGAGCTTTCTTTCTCTTTTCTTTGGTTACTTTCAGGGAAGAAACTTTTTGGTGAAGGCTACAGTGGACTAGAATATGATTACCGAGGTCTCATTAAACTTTACAACTCCATTGGAAATTATGAGAAAGTGTTCGAATATCACAATGTTCTGTCTAACTGGAACCGGTTGCGGGATCGGCAGTATTCAGTGACCGATGCTCTTGAAGACGTCAACACCAGCCCCCAGTCCACAGAAGAAGTGGTGCAGTCCTTCCTGATTTCTCAGAACGCTGAGGGACCGAGCTGCTGAGGGAGTACCTCAGTTAACCAATTACCTTTTCCCAGATTCCAGGGAATTCATACTGTGAAATCAAAACCATGTTGTTTTTAGGGGCTGGAATTTGCATTGAAACACTGGTCCAGTCCATTGAAGACCCTATTTTGGGTGATCCCTATCTTGCAGAGTGTCTGTAGGAATAAGCATATATTCAGTTATATTCAGCATGTACCGCATGTGTAAGTAGTCTGGCCCACAGTTTTCAACATAGTAGAACAAACAGGAAATCCTTTTTTGTTTTTCTTTTTAAAAAATAATTCATTTTGCAGAAAGCCTGAAAGAAAAAAAGAACCCTAAATAAAACTATTTAAGAGTTTAAAAGAGTTGCATTCTTATTATGTAAGGATGATTTTAACAACTTTTTAACGTATAATTCTTCCATGTGGAGGTATTCAATACTGTATTGTAAAGAAATTTTATGGGGGAAATCTTTATATGCAGTATAGAAAAGTGAACACAAATACTAATAACAGAGAGACATCCCAACTTAGTTTGGCTACCTTACCCAGAGCAGTGGATATAACCACTCCAGAGCTATATTACAAGGGATAGACTGTCCAATTATCTGAACTGGACCAGTGTTGATCTGTAAGTAATAGAAAAGCTGAAAGACCAACAGTCTTTCTTTTTTTTCCCCTTCCTTTCTTTTTCTTTCTTTTCTTTTTCGTGGTACAACAGTGCAAGATGCTCTGATAGCGTTTGCTAACAGGACCAGGAGGATCTACAAAGGACCAGCCCAATGTAGAAGGTGGTTATTTGGACCAGAGGCTTCAGATGATTATTTTAGCCCCTGCATATACTTTTATCAGTAGAATGATTTTATTTAGATGTACAATGAAAAGTGATAATGCAAAATTTATATTCATGCAATAGATACCAAACTAGGGAAATTTGGCCGTTTCAATTGCATATCTTTAGTCGAGGTACACAGATGGCAATGCTGTAAGCAAGGCTACAAATATCTGCTGCAGCTCCCCTCCCCCATTTTAACCGTTACCCTTCTAATCAACGCAGCTAATATGTACGTTGGCTATGAGTCATGTCCAGATGAGAAAGTTAGGTTACTGTACAATTTCTGAAGATTCATGGAAAGCAGATACCCAAAAATAAGTCTTAGAAAGATCCTTCATTTTTATGGTAAATAATAGTACAATTAGTCATTTTATTTGAAATCCAGGCGTCAAACAGGTCTCGTAATGATTTATCTATTTCACTAACTTGTCTTTCTTTTTATTGGATTTTTATTTTATTCTCTCCCCCTTTTTCTTTCCTTTAAGCCAGTGGGTTTATTTAATATTGAGGTAATATTCACATTTAAGAAGTTGTAACATGTTAGCAACTCAAGAAACAAAAAGGTATTTTGCTTTTACCTCAATTCTTATTATAGTGGCCCATCTGGTGCCTCTATAATTACAAATCTGGGCTTCCCCCCTATTTTCAGGGGTTCATGACTTGGCTGTGGAAGATGCTGCTCCTGGCTGATGCTGGGAGTAGCCTTGGTGAGTGGATGTGTGTTGAATTGTGATTTTCTTTTAACACGTGCATTGAGTGGTAAGGGAGACCATCTAACTGCCACATTGAGTCCAGAAAAAATTAATTAGGAGATTTTTAAATACTTTTTTGAACTTCCCGACTACAACCTTGTTTGAAACTGTTACTTGCAGGCTTCTTAGTTGTGAGCCAGTGTGTTTTAAGTCCCCAGGAGGGATTGACTGGGGGATGCAGTTAAAAAGCTGAAGCCAGCCCACACCCTGAGCTCATAAATATGTGATGTAGAAACCTGGTTTAATCCTCAAATTGAATTGTTTTCTTTTTAAATTTTGGAAAGAGGACATTGGCACACCTGCAATTTATGAAGCTGGTCCCCTCTCACTTAATTGTAATGTAATGCCAAGAGGCGCCTCTTCCTTAATTACCAGATAGTCTGTGTGACCGAGGACTAACGCGAAGTTTGAGTTGAGCTCCATCCTCATCGGCCTGCATATCTAATACCTCCAAAGAGATTTCAGGATAGGCTTTGTGTACTTTTACTAGTTACTTAGAGTCCTGTGGTATGTTTGTGGTATAGGAATGTCATGGTAAACTGTTTTTCAATAAATATTTTGAAACTTATGTTTCCTTATGAAGTTTTTTTTTTAATCTGTATTTTTGTTTTGTTTTGTGCACATATAGCATTTCCTAGAACAAGATCAAACAAATGACTCAAGGCCTCATCCTCCCTAACTCAGTTTGAACTCAACTTAGCTCACACTCAGTGATAAAGCCACATGATATTTACAAGTCAACTTATGTTTCCTTATGAAGTTTTTTTTTTTTAATCTGTATTTTTGTTTTGTTTTGTGCACATATAGCATTTCCTAGAACAAGATCAAACAAATGACTCAAGGCCTCATCCTCCCTAACTCAGTTTGAACTCAACTTAGCTCACACTCAGTGATAAAGCCACATGATATTTACAAGTCTAGAATCACAGGGTGATAACAACAGGTGACAGCCAATATTTTTTTAGCATCCTTATCAGTAGTTTCACCTGGCCACCGCTGCTTTAATGTAGTTTTTATAAATCTGTGCACATAAATCACACTTTGATTTAGTGTATATACTCTAGCTTAAGAAAACAGATTGCTATTTTCCGTTAGTGATATGACTTAATATGCTTTTATTTATGGTTCTAATGAAGAATAATACCCTAATCATTTTAAGTGTGGGGTTTACCTTTTTTAATAGGGATGTTTTTGATCACTTAGGGAGATGAATGCCACCGTGATTCATGGGGTTAAAAAAATCTCAAATGAAGGAAAGAATAAAATTTGTCTTGCAATAACCAATAGCTTTCACAGACTTTTTATGTGTGATGGGGTTGTTTGTAAGGTAGCGCTGGCTAACTTAAAGATTTTTCTGTTAGTTCAGCAGAGTAAGAGACCTTTGGTCCCATCCTTCCTGGCTTTCTTTTCTTCTTCCCATTCTTTTCCCAAAGTTTGGTGCTACTCAAGTTGGGTGCATCAGGGAGCTCAGCTAACACTCAGATGTGCCACACAGGTGAGCAGTCACTCCTGCATTCAGTTTAATGAAGCCAGGTGGTTTTTCTAGAGCATAATCTTTACGGGTCCCCTATGCTGACTTTGCCCAAAAGATTAGGACCCTTATTACTGTCTCTGCATAGTTAAACACGAACCTGCTATTGCTCTATAGTAACCTCTGTCCAGGTACCCATTTGTGAAAATGAAGGACTTAACAAAGAACTTTGTTCCTAACCTGTTAAGAACAGTTGGTCATTTTGTGAAAATTAAATTCAGAGGCCACAGTCTGGAAACAACAAGGGTGCCATTTGGTTGTCCTTACGGTGCAAACTGAAAGTGCATGCCTAAGACATGCTGGAAGCTGTCGGTCCAAACTTCACGAATTGGAAGAATGATTTGCCAAGTAGCAGGCATTGTTAACTGCCACCTGTTCTTTGTATTATCCCCAGTAGTCCTATTCTTGCTGCTTCCAAACTTTTTTTTTTTCCTGGATGCAAGGCTGCTGGACAAATATTTATAATTTTTTTTAAGAGTTTGTGTTTGCTTTAAAGATGAACACATTTTATTTACCTCTTGGCTTTAGAGGACCTTACTTGCCAGATTTTTTTTTATATGACTTTAGGATTAATCTCCAGCTTGAACACTAACAGTTCTTTTGCCCACAAATCTCAGGAATGTTTTAGGCAGAAAACTGGTTTTGCCCTGTTGATGATCTGAAGGAGTGTGCTTTAGGATTTATTAAATAATATTCTTCTTTCATTGCAATCCTAGGTATCTATAGCATGAGTGGCCTTAGTGAGTTTGTTGAAGTGCACATGTTTTTCAAAAGTAAAATTTAAGATTAAAAATATATGCTATATATAGATATCTAGAAAACTTGGTTTGTGGTGCACAGTTAAGTGTCAGATCACTAAATAACCGTTGCAGGTACCATTTGTGTAACATTACTCATTTCTGTATATTTCTTTTATGGGAAGACATGTTGCCATGGTAACTAAAACTTTTCAATTTAGTTCTTTTTTGATGCGAATGAATGCTACATTTTATTAAATATTACCAAGTCAGTACTATTTTTATACTTTATTAAGCAACAGGGGATTTTAGTTTAATAGACTCAAAATAAAAAGCTCTTAATGGAACAGTTAAAAGCAAGTCATTTACAATCTTTCTCTGAAAATCCCCACTAATAGTGCCACAATAATTTCTATAGAAATATCTAAGGTCACTGATAGATTTTCGAAGCCAGTTCTTTATTGTATCAGAACAACCTTTCATATCATTCTCACCAACTTGTAGCGCCCACCATTATTTGTAACTATTAAATCATACTAAGTATGTTTGTAACCAGCATTGTGATATATTCTGTACTTGTATTGCTCAAAATGAATTATTGACCTAATAAATATAGTGTTCCTGCACGTGGAGTGTACGTTTTCAATTTAGTTGTGATGGCTTTTGGTGGGGACTTGGGACAATTTAAACTGTTGCATACTGTTTTTATTGGAACACAGTATGAGAGAAACTGTTGGAACCAGAGCAAAGGTGTTCTTGTGCAAGAAAATTAAGATATGTGACAGAGGAGGTAAGATGTGTGACAGAGAAGGCACATGGTGGCAGATCTGGAGAGGTTGCTCAAGAAAGTACTTTGGGAGAAGACAGAAGCATGGCATTCGTGCAGGGGAATTTTTTAGACTTTGGGAAAGTCTTTATGAATCACTATGTGATTCTTTGTCTTGGTCTTGTAACTCTCAAAGGCTTAAGGTGCGGGGAGACATGGTAGAGTTATGCTGGAACAGTAGAGGGAACTCCAGGTTTAATTTCAGTTCTGGCTCCGCCTCTGAGCTGTAGGAATTTGAGTTATGTCATCACAGCCCTTGTGTTTCATTTCCTGACAAGAACGAGGGGGTCAAGTTAGGTCTTAATCAGCTCCACCAGGAAACAGCATAGCTCTTAAGCACCCAAGAACAATGAACAGGAAATGAAGTCACATTTTAGAAGATTATAAAGAAAACTATTGGGACTAGCAAATGGCATAATGGGTACAGCGCTGGACTCCCATGTAGTTGACTGTGGTTTGGATCCTGGACCCAGCAGCTTAAACCTCACACTGGGCGTGTGTGCATGCATACCCAAGATTCCAAGAGGAGACTGGAGAAGGCGATGCAGCATAACCATCCCTCTTGGGGGTGGGGGGGAGGTGTAATTTATTGCTTTCTGTCTCTCTGTCTCTCCAGTAAGCACACACACCTTATAGCAAAAATGTCTCTTTAAAAAAAAAAAAAGAAAACTAATATTTTAGATGAAATCCCACCTTGGAAATCACTAGCCTCATTGCCTGCCACCTTCAGTGATACTGAATTTTCTCATTTTTCTTTCTACTTACCTATGACTTTGAGTCTTTGAATATGTGCCATTTCCTCTTCTGCATGGAATGCTTTTGGGTCTTCAGAAAAGTGAAGACACATTTTTGCATAGAAAAACATAGGAAGATGCGTCATGACTTCCCCGATGACCTAATATTTCCTAGGTAAAGTCTTACTTATCTGAAGGGCTCAAAGGTCAAGGGAAGTCTTCCCTTAAAGCTCAAGTTGCCATTTCTTGTTCATAATGAGGCACTTTATTTCAAATTTTAACAAAGTAATTACTATATGGCCATATAATTCATGGTGTTAAGACTATTTCCAACTTGGAAACTTCGGATATGTGCATTTAACAAACAACATAGAACACTTAACTTCTTTTTTTTAAAGAATTATTTTATTAATTTTATTGATTGATTTATTTTAATTTGACCAAAGAGGGACAGAGCCAGAAAGAGAGAGAAAAAGTGAGAAGGCAGGCCGCCAGGCCCAGGACTTGAACCACGGTCGCCATGTGGGTGCCCTTAACCACCATGCCACCTGCTGGCCCCAGAACGCTTAACTTCTAAATGAGTTACCAAACTACACTCAGTTACTTTAAACACACTGGTTTCAGTTCTGAAATTCAAGACAAACACACTCATTGGAATCACTGTTATGAAAAGCAGGAAATAACAGACGTGTTGGCACAAATGAGAAACGAGTCTGTCTGCACTGGTGGGAATGAAATATGGTGCATGTGCAATGGAAAACAAGACAGCGAGTCCCCAGAAAATTTTAAAATACACCTCTAGGTATGTCTCAAAAAGAATTGAAAGCAACTTGGACCAGCCTTGTAACCTCGCAGTTAAGGAAGCCGATCCCACCTGACGGCAGTTTGAATTTTGGCCCTGGAGGCTTGCAAAATACGCTGGGCACATGTACACCTGTGTGCCCCAGATCACGGTAGGATGGGGAACAGGGAAGGGATTGAGATGTGAATGTTAGGGAGGAGAAGTAGCAGGAAGGGTAGTGGGGATAAACTGTTTTAGTTTACATGCATTCTTGTTCTATAACATTTACTTTATTTACAAGCATTCTGTGTCTGTTCATTATTTTTCCTGATTCCCTCCCTAACCCCCTACCCCTCAGTGTTCCCTGGTATCTACAGTAGCCTGTCTGAGTCAGAGAAGCTCTCCAGACCTGAGTGCAACCCTAGCGAGGTGGTCCAGGAAAGCATGGAAGCAAGCCTATCTATGAGACTCAAGAAGCAGACATGCAAGGCCAGCAGGTGACATGTTGGTTAAGGACTGAACTTCCACATGGCCAGCTGCAGTTCAAATCCTGGACTTAGCCGCTTGCTTTCTCACTTCCCTTTTCTGGTCAGATTGAAAAATGATAATGATGAATAAAATAATTCTTTGAACAAAAAAGAAGCAGTAGGTCCTGAGTGGCCTACATGAAAATAAAAGAAATAGGTATACCACAACAGAGTGAAAGGGCATTGCCAATCACTTGAATCTATATCATCTACATCAACCATCTATACATATGCACCTATATCTCCATATATATCTTAAAAAAAAAACTCGGAACAAATATTGAAAGTGCACAAGACAATGTAATGTTTTCTGTTGAAAATGTTGAATCTGGTAATATCCTCAGTATTTGGGACCAGCAGATGGCATTACGGTTATATAGCTGGACTTCCACATACTTGACCATGGTTCAAGTCCCAGACCCAGTGACTAAA